ATCAAAAAAGTTGTTATAAATGGAAAAACTTTTATTCGGTGATGGTGTAATGAAGGTCGCGTTCAAGCAGCTGATGTCAAATATTAAGACGGGTAAGCATATTTATACAACCTCGTCTTTCTCTGTCTGTTTTGAATTCATTATGTCCCGTGTCACAGTATATTGCACACTAAACCACCTAAATGGCATTAGCAAAATGCTACAAGAACCAGTAAAGATATATGTGCAACTTATGAATTGGTAAGTAGATTATATAATATTTTCTTTCACTACATCAACACTTAAAGTATATTGTATATTATTAATATATATATGTCACCGTAACGCCATATTAATTTACAGCGTGCCGTAACATTGCGGTATTTTACGGGATATTTTTAAATCCTACCATATTAGGGAATGCGACTTCCAAATATGGAATGATTACGCGCATAAGCGTCCTCTAATAACAAAAAACAGGACCGAACTCCACATAAAGAAGTTCGCTGATTCTGTTCTAAACATTTTGGACTTCGGCATTCCCATGATGTATTCCTTGGAAGGAAAAGCTGTATAATAATAAGGTTTTTACGAGTATACCTTAAAGTATGCACTCAGACAGTGCACCGTCGCAATACTCCCGCTGTACTGTCTTCGTGCATACTTTCAGGTATCCTCGTAATAACTATTCATCGCTAACTTTGAGTACTAGTATTATACAAGTTAATTGTTTAGTTATACTTTTGTTTCTATACTGACAAGTTGCAGAGGTCAAACATACATACTAGAAATTAAAGCGAGCACAAGCGAAATAATGAAACGTCAGAGGCGGCGGCACGAAATTGTGCATGAGGGGACGAGATCTGCTCAATAACCTTGCGCCGAAGGCTTGACCTTACTAGGGGGTCCGGGGCATGCTCCCCTCTAAACAAGTTTAAATCAAGACTCTCTGAAACGCTATTTCTTGCATTATGAGGGGCAAATTTTGCTGACACAAAGGGTTTCAGCTTGATTTTGGAGGGGCGACGCCCTCAATTTTTTTTGCCCCCCCCGTGCCGCCGACACTGTACGTAACTGCCATACAGACATGTAAATTAGACTTCGGCGACGATAACAGGGGTTAAAGTCCACTCACGGGTCATTGGAATGACTGGGGTCTGCACGGTGTCGCTGATCATTCAATGCTCCGAGTGGTTTGAGCTACCGAAACGAACTTGGTGACCTTGAACGACATATACGTATGCAGGAGTACAGGTTAACCCTTTGTTTACATGCAGTGTAAGTAACACCCTCGTTTGAATTGTACAATCGTCGTTAGTTGCATACTAGGTGTGATTTGTTTACCGATCTCTAGGGGCTTCAAATCGGTCGTTGGGTTATATAACATTATACTGGTCTCATATGGCATGGAGCTGGAGATCACGTATTGATTATTATTGTTCGTCAAATGACGGAGCTGTCAACTTATTTTGTAGGAAACAAAACAAACACACACAAAATAACAATATAGGCAGGAATTGTTTACTAATATTATAAATCCTGTTACTTCCGTGTTGTAATGTCAGTTTTCTGAACGTCCGTTTTTACCCCCCGGTATGACGAAGTCCACAAACGGTGACTTTTACAGTGAATGTTCAGACTGAATGAAATTAAAAAATAAAAACAGCTACTGTAAACCTGTAAAATTACGTACTTTTATAATGAGAACTTTACGTCTACGTCACGTGCGTACTTTCCCCAACGACAACAATATGACTGTCTTTCCCCATTGTTCATTGAATTCTGCTACCTTCTAAGTAGGGACCATTGTTATGACTGCTCAATCAAAACAGTAATTGAACTATTGTTATTTACTGTTCAATCGAAACAATCTTTGAACTAACAATGAATTCAATTTATAACCATCCATGACGAAGTAAATATATCTCTAAAATTAGAAACTACGCAATTTGTTTGCTTATGTGTATAAAGGATAAGAACTGTTTTGGAAGGAGACCAGAAGAGAGCAGCAGCGAGTGAGTCGACATTATTATCAGCTCGATTGGTGACGAGGGGAGCTGCAGTCAAATGGACTGTCAGCGAACCGTCCAATCTTACTACTATGATAAAGTCATCACCATAGATTCGTTTATAGTTTGTGATTTCATCAGTCATGAATTGGATCTACTGTGTATTAAGATTAAACCTACTAAGCGTTACATACTGGACTACATGTATCTGTAACTCTTCTCTGTGTACGCCCTTACCGCCTGGCAACAATTCACGCACGTACCTCTAGCCTGCCAACTTATTGATCTACGATTGCTGAGTCCCCCAAACTCGGTAGAAACCCCGACAACACTTGTTGGTAGAAGCCCCGGCCACATTTGTCTCCAATCGAGCTAATATTAAATGTCGAATCACTCGTTGTTGCTCTGATCTTCGCTGCTGCTCCCCTTGTCTTCTTCCAAAATCATTGGCGGATTTAGATGGGGGCCGAGGGGATCGCAGCCCCCTATTTTTAACAACCAACAGGACTTCGCGCCATCGGCGCTCGCGAACTTGGCCTTAGGCCAACTTATCCCCGCTCCCTATTCCAGAATCCTAGATCCGCCCCTGAAAACAGTGCTTATCCTTTATACACATAGACAAACACATTGCGTACTAATTTTAGAGATCTATTTACTTCGTCATGGATGGTCATAAATTAAATTCATTGTTAGTTCAATGACTGTTTTGATTGAGCAGTAAATAGCAATACTTAGAAGGTGGCAGAAATCAATGAACAATGGAGAAAGACAATCATATTGTTGTCGTTAAGGAAAGTACGCACGTGACGTAGACGTTAAGTTCTAAATATAAAAACACGCAATTTTCCAGGTTTACACTACGTAATTGTTGAAATTGTTCTACAATACCAAATTGCAGGCCAAAATTACATGTGAACTGCCGTAAGTTGGTTGGCATATGTTTTATATCATTCATGAACAATGGGCCGTACCTGGATTGTTAGAACATCTCAATGCTATGCATTCAACAACAAATCATACGTTATTACCATAGTGACATTGTTAAGACCCTATTGGTATAGTTCAGATCTTGCTTCACCTTTCTCTGTCTTAGTTTTGCTGGACTATTACTAGAAAACCGTTGACTTGTAAAACCCCTTTCTGCATAATAGAGACCGTGATACTTGATTTACCCGACTTTCTATATTGTACTAACAACTGGTAAAATATGCATTAAGGTAGCGAGACTATTATTTGTGTTGAAAATTACGATTTTCACATCTATTTATTTATTAATTGATGAAATGCACTATAAACTTTCATCTGATAAAGTCAACGTAACCTAGAATGTCATGTAAGTTGATTAAAATGTAGATTTTTTGAAGGAAAGTAAGGTAGTTTCAGTAGTGTTTTCCAAAATCAACAACACAGGTTTAATTTGTGTGCCTATAATTTTCAAAGATTAACACAAGACAAAGCAATCATGTTAGGATGTGTTATCAGTAGCGACCTAACACACAATGAGTGTTTCCAAACATTTGAGTGGTTTGTGGCCGCCCCTGTTTATTTCACAGATTAGTTATTTGCATATGAATGTGTCAGACACAAGGTCACACAGCCACTGAAAAAAAAATCATTGATTTTGGTGTTTTCATCTGTCGATTTTATCGAACTATAGCTATCCCATTCCTTTTATATTTTGGTTTCCAATAGCCTTACACATTTGGATGCCCCTACACATGTTAAAACAGACCTTGATGGGATGCAAATAATAGTCCCGCTACCTTAATTTAGAAATGTTGAATTAACGGAAAATAGCATGAAATAATTTACATTCAAATTCCCCGGAACTTTAAAATCAATCGATCTACATTTTTTTTGGAAAACTATCCACGTGTAATACTACTCTAACTCTGGGAAACTTACCTAGACTGGTTTGGCGGCCATATCTGTTGAAACAGGAAGTGCTTTTTATCTCGTACTTGGGGTGGATGAGTGTTAGTAGTGCTATTTTTATCGTTGTTACCCAGCATTTGTAAATATAAACCTTGACAGCAGTATACCGTACGACGTAGGGTCTGCAATTTCTGACCCTAAATTGTTACATATTAACACACGAGTTTCTCTTCAGAGAAATCGTCTAAGGTCAATGAATTTTCAAGATAAAGCTTCTGCTGGTATCAACATTTATCCGGTTTTCTATCAAAGTGCGCAACTCCAATGGTCATACCAGGTTTGCTTGAATAACATGATGTACGTGTGTTTTTGCAGTTTTTTCTACTATAACATCCAAATTATATTATTCCCATACAGATCGATGATAGTATTCACCATACTCGTATTACTAAATACAAGTCTACTATCGAAGTCTCTACACACAATATTTCGCAGTCTCAGCTTACAAGTGAAAAACTCCAAGACGAGGAAGCCGCGCCATAAAGTCAGACAGAACATACCGATCGTGGTAGCACAAATAAAACACATATTTCATTGTAAAACAAAAGGTGGAAAATACGATGGCTTTGAGCAAGTTAGAATCGGGAGAGTCGGGATACCCAGTTGGAATCTTACACGAACAAGATCAAGACGACAAGTACATGTGCGTACACTGTAAACGAGTGTTAAACAACCCGGTACAGAGTAGTTGTGGTCATCGGTTTTGTAAAACATGTGTTGATGTACTGATCAGGTACGTTAAATATATTAAATGTATAGATGTACGTGCGCCAGCATATACGGAAAAAAAGTTGTGATACCAAACCATATTTCGTGCGTTGAGTATGCAAATTAGAAAACAGAACTACAACCAATCAGAACAATGTGTTTATTGGATACGATTCTTGGTAAAAACATAGTCGCTTCTTGATCACGTATTCATATGGAAGATCGTTAAATTCTGCGTTAAGCAATATTAAACGTTAACACATGTCTTTTTAAAACCAATATCAAATTCAGTGAAATGAACTTACCGGATGACATATTGCTTACGCCAAGTTCACCTTTTGCAGGGACACAGGGAGCAGCCAATGCCCGATGTATTTAGATGACCTGGAACCAAACAACAATACATTGACTATCAACACGGTAAGATATTATTGTGGGCGTGTGTTCAAACAATATAACATGACGCCGTGGGAGATTCATTATTGTTGTTGTAATTCTTCACCATTTATAAAAAACTCTTTATGTTCACATGTTTAGGTATTTCCTGATAGAGCACTTGCACGAGAAATGATGCGATTAAAAGTAAGATGCGTTTATAATGGCTGCGTGTGGAGTGGATATTATTCCCAGTATAAGGTATGTGATATTCTCTAATATGCACCATTTCTATAGATATTTTAAGATATTAGATATTTTAAGTTGTAATAATATATAAACTAGTATATAAACTCATCTGGATCACTGGATTAAACTATAAAGTAATCATATAAAGAAAGAGTACTAGTATATAGTATTGTTAACGTTACACAAAGTACGGACTAATTTAATCTAATCTCACTAATTTGCATATCTGATAGACCCAATTAGGTTCACGTACGCGAGTAAACAGCGTTTAGCATGGGCTAAGGAATGTCCAAACGTGTTAAAAATAAAAAAAAATATTCAATCCGTTTAACTATGATTACTATATGAAGGTATACAAGTTAGTTCTACATATTTGAAATGGCACCGAATTGGGTGCTTAGCCCGTGCTAAGCGTTCACGCAAATTTGTTTTTAGCACGGGCTTAGGTACTATACATGTTTCCCTATTTAGTGTGTAATCTAATTTGAATATTGCATTGTATTTAAATTGTGTTATCTTCCAACCAATGATGTTAGCTGATAATAATAGCGGGGGGGGGGGGGGGCTTAAACGTGGGGATATGGCGTTTAATGATGTCTGTCACAAATGTGTACACATATTCGGTCTCCGGGATTCGATCTACACCGTTTGTGATCACCGGCGATACGGCGATAATAATTTTGTTTTTAATTGCGGTGGTTGCGCCCACCCGTGTTTGATGATCATCGGTCCGGAATTCAGCGTTGCGTTGAATATTTCTATTTAGAACCAGTGAATGAGTGCACGCCCATATTTTAAAAACCACTCTCACTGTTGCAAACCACGCCCAAATTAAAACTCAATGTTTAATTAACAGTAAATCGAACATCGAGTTACGAGAATCATAAATTGCTATTCTTGTTTAACGTCCACATTTAGTAACACGAACTTGAATTAACAGAGCTTTGAGTTACGGGCAACATGTTTTTTTTTTAGTTTAACGTTGTATGTTGCCCGTAACTCAAAGGTCAGTTAACTGTAAATTAAAGTTTGAGTTACTAAATTTGAACGTCAAACAAACTAAAAATCCGTTTAAGTGTTAATCGCAGATCGAGTTATTAAGTATGGACATTAAACAAAAACAAAAATGTATATTGCTCGTAACTGGTAATTTAATATCGAGTTACAATTTGGGCGTGGTCATTTTTATAATTCGATGTTTTCGGAACTCGATTTTCGTAACTCGATCAATTCAGCATATCCGGTCAAAACAACTGGTCGAGTTACGGACAGATTTCATCCATTGTAGGTTGGTGGGAATTTAGTATTTTATATCATTATAATTAGATACATTAAATGGTTTTCGATTCTAGGATCATGCAATGTTGTGCGACTTCGGCGTTATAACGTGTCCCGTTGAAGGCTGTGGTCAAGAAATACAACGAGGGAACCGGTTAAGACATACAAATGAAGAGTGCTGTATGAGGAAAACAACGTGTCAATACTGCAATAACGACTATATATATCGAGAATTAAAGGTATGTTTTAAATGTTGTGCTAATCAGTATACGCTAATATATAAATTCTGACAATTATTGCTATTATATGTGGGTAGAAGTCGGCAAGGAAAATGAATAAATCAATATATAAAAATAACATATTAAGCAATGTTTAAAAATAGAAAAAAATGACAAATGTAACAAATCTTAAAAAAAATATTAAAATTTTTAAGGTTCATCATGCACAATGTCCAAAAGTGCGGATTCCATGCGATTGGTGTGGGAATAGAGTACTACGGGAAAAGGTGAGTTTACGTGTAATTGGCGACAATCGCGTTTCACTCAAAAAGAAAAAAAAGTTACAGATACACACTACTACATTTTATTATGTGATTGTTGAAACACTTCAGATAATATATCTTTATATTTGCCAATATTAGATCGCAGACCACAAAAACACTGAAACTGGCGACTGTCCAAATATGAAACAAATCTGTGAATTCAAACAAGTGGGTTGTTCGACATTGGTAAGTAAATCTACATTTGGAGTGAAATTAAATAGTGTATGCCTCGATTGCATCAATCGCATTGTATTATTATTCCAGCTCTAGAGTCACCATGTATTAGGTCTGAGTAATACCAGACAATGCAATAGTTAATAAAGTCTTTAAAACGGTAGAGTACATCTAAACAGCCATGATCAGTATTGAATCGTAACATACGTGAAATTAACAAAATTACTTTTCGTGGACACATTATCATATGCTATGACTGATTGGAAGCCATATCATACATTTACAAAACTTTAGCATTGCCTATGATCTGTCAATTCTAGATAGAGAAGAATGGCCAAAGTGCCCACAACAAACAAGAAGTCCAACACCACGCACACCTGCTGCTCCAAGCAATACTAAAACTAGACAGCATCAAAGATAACATCAAAGAATACAGCACTCAGATTCAACAAATAAAAACACTGTTAGAATCACAGAAAACGCGGATTCAAAGTTTGACGCAAACCACTGGCAATCTGGAGGACCAAATGAGGCAGCACGGCCAACAACTGGCCAAACAGAATATCAGAACTGAGGAGAAAGAATTAGGTAATGATAAACAGTACTACATAAACGAATTAAGAGCACACATTGTCAAGTTAGAAAAGAAGGTGGAAACATATGAGGCAATAGTTTCTGTGTTATCACGCGAAGCAGAATGTACTACTGATAATCTAACCGTTGTACAACGCCAAAGTGATCAGTTTAAAGAACAAATTCGGATATTAGAAAATAATTGCAAATCACAGGATCGAATAATAGCACTAAAAGATGTATCATTGGCGGAACAAGATTTACGGATACAGGCACTTGAAATGACGTCATACGACGGTATATTGCTGTGGAAAATCACCGATTTTGCTAGGAAGAGACGTGACGCAATTTCAGGCCGTAAACCATCTATATATTCTCCGTATTTCTTCACCAGTCACCATGGTTACAAATTATGTGCTAGGCTCTATTTGAATGGGGATGGTATGGGGAAAGGAAATCACGTGTCTCTGTTCTTTGTAGTGATGAAAGGGGAATATGACGCAATCTTAAAATGGCCATTTAGACTGAAAGTCACTCTGATGTGGTTGGATCAATCTAATAGGGAACACGTGATCGATGCGTTCCGACCAGATCCCTCATCGAGTTCATTCAAGCGTCCAACAGGAGATATGAACATTGCGTCCGGATGTCCTTTATTCATGCCACTCAGTGTTATTGACAGTGGTAGATGCGAATACGTGAAAGATGATACTGCATTTATCCGTATTATTGTAGACGTCACTGACCTTGGGTAGTAAATAGAGGTGGTCCGATTTCCGATGGCTGTTTCACAATGTTTTACAGTACATTGCTTTTTATTGTTTTTATTTGTTTCATTATGAATTATTTGTGTGATGTTTGTGTTGTTACTCTATTAGTAAACATTCAGCACGTGGTCTGTAAGCAATATTATTAATACCATATTAATTGATGATTGTTTTCAGACACCAAATTGCAGAGGTACCGTGCGGATTTTAAATACTGTGTGCGATAAAAATGTGTATAGCAAAATGCAGTGAAATATAGTAGTTTTGAACCACGTGATTATGAAAATGATGATGTACACATATATAACACCCATAATCATAGTATTGTATTGTGTACACTGTAGTCACGTGGTTATTATATATACATATGTATACATGTATATTAATGTAAAGCAACTCACAACTTGTTGTAGTTAGGTCCGAAAGACAGCAATGTTTTAATTTACATGCGGTACACATTGAAAGGTCAAAGGTTTTACCGCCTGTGAATTTATTACAGTTTCGCTCGATTAAAATAACAACTAAAGCTGTTGTCAAAATAATCAACGATATTATTTAACGGATATATTATCTATTTTTCATCAAAATAAAATAATACACTTTATACACTGGTAGCACAATGTACTATAAGTTCATTAATATTCATTGGACAGCGTACTTAGATACCGCTGGCATTGCTAGTTTGGTTTTGTGAAGAGATCCATTCAAATTATCCGACCAACCAATTTTTTGTAGAGATTTTGTACTTTCGACGTGATTTTGGCCGATCAGTATCACTTGTTGGGGTAGATCGTCGATTTTAAATAATTTAGGTTACGAATTATAAACCACAGGTGACACGTATGGTTTGTTTTTGTTTTTCGAATCACATGAGATCTTTTGGTCTTAAACCTCTGGGGTTTACATATTGTGGATAATTGTCGGCCATTTGCCTTGTCTGTGTGGTAGATATTGGGGAGAAGTCATAAACGACAAGGTAGACAACAAGTATATATGGTTAATCCTTATTTTTCACCAAAAAATAAATTCTAACGGTGTTTATTTACCGATTGATTAAAAATGTATGTAAAAATGCATAATTATGTGTTTTATATATGCCGATGATCAATACATTGTAACTTGATATTTTACCCAAGAGCTACATGAACTTGTAATACTCAGATTTATTTGTAAACTTGACGCGTGGACTGTAAATATTTTTAAATATATAAATTTCACTGTACAATGTGATTCTGTAAAGCATTTTTGTCGATCAGTATCGCTATATTAACATACGTTTCCTAACAAGCTTAGGTTCAAACAAATGCCCCCGACTGTTTCTAAGTACATTATGGGGTTTTATCTGGAATTAAGTGAATGAATGTAATAAATATGATTACTGGAAGACTTGTATATGCAAACAGACGTCTGTGAGTCTTATGAACTTGAGTATTGAAAGGTTGGCTGATTCCATTGGTGTTCAATAACAATAGTTTTTAGGGTCAAAGTTCGTTTGGACCCCATTGTTTTTCTTCTCCCGTCGTTTCTTTGTCGCCCTAAAACCTGGCCACGATCTTTGATTCCTTGTAAATTGTAAGTTTGTTTTGTTATTGATGTACTATTTATTCGATTATTTTCAAATTTTTCATACTGCACATTATACAGAACCCCTTCACACAGCAAACAAATAATTCAGATCAGCCGAATGATTTATCCGCCATTTTTGGATTTCGCCAACAATTTGCATTTGCTTCCCAGGAATATTTTAACCGATCACCTGGCTATTTGTAATGGAACGTATATGACCATAACCTGTTAAAAACTTACAATTATTGTCGACAGTATGGGACTACAAACGATGAGATTTACGTTATGGATGCAACAGTAACATTATGTCCAGTCACACATGACATTATCGCCAAACAATCAGTACGGTGACACACTATGCTATGGTGTATATGCACGTAGTGATTAGTAGATATCACGTGACAGTCAGTGTAGGGGGCATAACATTTCACCATAATCGACATATATGTATTGGTTTGCATGGGGAAATGTACACACAGTTTTGGCGAGACAATGGTACCATGTTTTTTAAATCGAGAAATCATCTGCTTGGATGCTCAGTGCGACGAGGCTGGTTGGATATTTGCAGTTGTGACAAAACACCGAGCAGGAAGTGTTTGGTGGTACAGATGGTAAAGATGTACGTGGAGAGAATTCAGACGACACCAAAATGCCTTATATAGGTGTACTATAAAGCTGCTGATGGGAGATATGGTAAGGTGTAAGACTAGATTACTAGATTGTTCTTTCATCCAGAAATAAAAACACGTGGTGCTTCAGTCTTCAGCACAATATTCTATCAATACTAGTGACAGTAATAATAAAAAATTTCCAATGTTGCCATGTGACGACGGTTAAAAAACTGTTATAAAATACATTTTACTTGACAAGTACGATACAATACACTTTCGATACGATAATATATTTTTGAACATGTGAATGGACATTTATCACAGAATTTAATTCAGATGTAGTATTGGCAATTTATGTGTATATTCTCTGGCTGAATATAATAAAATACTAATAATATTGAGAATGATTGGAAAATTACAAATAAAGAAATTCTATGAATAAACACTTCAGGTCAAACTATCGATGATAGTTGAGTATTATCATTATTCATTGTATCTTTATATAAAACTAATTTTTATTAATAATTCATTGTATACAACCCAAATCACTTTCTTTCACTGTATTTCACAAAATGTGTTTGTCTAATACAATTTAAACTCATATGGAGGTTGCAAGAAGACTGGTGTAGTATATTTCACTGCCTTGTATAACACTAGTGTAAAGCATTGTTTTCGAGGACATTCTCAATAGAACATTTTCCGTTCAGTCCGAAATCACTCGTTATGCGTGAAATCGAACGTAAAAACGGGACTAACAAAAGTCATAGCGTTGTAGTGGCGACGAACATCGCATGGGACTTGACAAACGCGAAAGTATACTGTACACATTTGATGATGGTCAATTTTGATGACGTAAGGGTATTCAAACGGAATATTTCTCTGTCAAAGATCGGCCTTTCGATGTGAGTAACGAAATAAACAAATTCGAGTTCAAAAAATCAAATCGTTCTGATATTTGCGGCGGACGTTCGGCGCGCGTCTTTTACGTAATTCGCGCGATCTCGCAGTTGTAAATGACTTATTGAATAAATGAGGTTCCATTTCGAACCATGGTTACATACGCTTTATGCTGATTTGGCTTGTACATTATTAGTATCTATTCAATATGAGTCAGTGTTCACTATCTTCCATTGTTAACTGTTTAGGACAATGACAGTGGCGTGGTCGACAGTGCGCCTGTCTTTAGGTGGACACAAAGTGGGAATATCTTGTTAACACAAATCGCAAGTAGCTGTTAACCTATGGTAATTGTATTGAGAGTATATAAATTGAGTGTTTGCTTTACGAGATTATATGCATTAATTCATAACTATGAGAGATGATGGCAGTTCTACTGTCAACAAACAGTTCCATGATTTTAATTTGAAAATATATAATGACACGTATTGTTTGATTGGGGTTTCAGCCAAGTAAAACCAGTGCACAAGTGGTCTTAGACTGTCGACAGCCGGTCATACCTAATATTAATCTGTCATTATTAATAAATATTGTTTATAGACGTAATAAACGTAAATAAATTGCGAACGCTGGGACAGGAAGTATGGAGTGCCGTAAGGCACGACCGAATGTCCGGTGCAGCAATTCACTGGTAAGATTTCTTACCAGATCCGGGTATTTCATATGCAAATGATAGTCGCGCAGATGTCTATCATTTGATCGTCGCCAATCGTGAAAAGGGTCAGGAATCGCCGGCTACTAGGATCGCCCACGACTTACGCAAAGTTTGTTTTGACTGTACTATACGCGATCGGGGAGTTTTTGATATCATGTTACTAACAACCTTGAAATCTTGACGTGAACAACCAACGCATTCAGGGGTCATTTAGTATAAGTTTGCATGCATTATGTTAATATAATTTATTTCGTGACGTCTGCATCAACTATGAATTATTCATATCAACTGGAAACCTGCAGACGGGGAAAGTCTCTCGGGACTAAAGTCCCTCGCGTGAAATGGTTCGCATTTCCAATCAAACGCCTTTGGCGTTGGGATGTCTAGGAAACACAATCACATTAGGCCCTAGGACTGTCGACGGTCTAAAGTGGTCTTTGCCCTACATATTATTTACTACCAGACTTTAACACACACCTGTTAAGTACATATCACAATGGAATATCTAAACACTTCACGTTTATGTGAATATGTTCTGACATTCCATCGTTGTTATTTTTTTAAGTATTAGGTACCTGCAATGGATAACTCATAAAATGCTGAATTGCCTTAGGATAACACATATGATGTTTGCAATTGAACTCCAAGAGCCAAAGCCAAGCGCTATGTGTATATGTATTGCAATAGCGTTAAATGTTAGGAATCTAATACAATTACTTAAAGAAGGCATTTCTATAACATGTGACATAGCTGTTTGAAGGGCGCGGATGCATTATCAGATCGTGCGCTGGATACCTGTACTGTGTTTATAACGTACTAGTCCAAAGTACACTTCATAAGATAAGCAGCCGATGTACATGCATTGCTAAGCAACATAGCGTTTATGCTAGCACTCATTCAAAAAAAACAAAGTCCGATAACTGCTGTACATTCTACTCCGCTCTACCAAGTGACTGAAACAGATTTATGATTCGATCGCCACCTTAGATTTTGTAAAACCAATTGCACCCTCTTTATGGAATATGTATAGTAATATTCAAGAAATAGTTTTAGTGGTAATTTGACACTGGCTACCATTTGTAAGTTATCTAAATATCCATATTCAACCAGTTCATAATTGCTGGTTCAATTGACGAGGTCCTAGTTTATTGTGAAGATTCCATTTCCAGCCTAAGCTGGCGCACATGGTGGGTTACTAT